AACTGTCTTCCAAGCAAGGCAATTGCTTCAGACATATTCTCCTCCTTATCACCATCTGAATCAGCTGTGTTTGAGACAAGAGCTATGCTTTTGTTCTTTTTCTCCATATCCTGATCACTCATTCCCATTTCAAAGGTTTGAAGGGAACCAATGAGTTCATCCACTTTCATGTGGCATATGTCTTGGGCTTCTTCAATGGCGGTTACTTTCATGGCAAACCTTTTAGGTAGTGACCTTAGTATCTTTCTTACAAGCTTCTCTTCACTCATCTTTTCTCCCAGAGCTCCTGAGGTGTTTGGAAGTTCAAGAACATTCATGTAAAACTCATGAATGGTCTCATCTTCCTTCATTCTTAGACCTTCAAATTTGGTGGTCAGCATTTGAAGTCTTGACATTTTGACCTTGGAAGTTCCTTCATGAGTAGTTCTGAGAGTGTCCCAAACATCCTTTGCTAGTTCGCAGTGGTGGAACAGCCTGAAGATGTTTTTATCTATGCCAGTGAACAATGCATTCAATGCTTTAGAATTTCCAAGAGCTAAGGCCTCTTGCTCTTTGTTCCATTCTTCTTCAGGAATCATTACATCTACTTCATCCTTGTCAGTCTTCATAGGACGTTTCCACCCTGAATTCACAGCTCTCCAAGCTTTATTGTCTATAGATTTCAAGAATGCAATCATCCTTGGTTTCCAATACTCATAATTAGATCCATCCAGAATTGGAGGTCTATTAGTGAAGCCTAAATCTTTATCCATAGTACCAGAATTTGTTTTCCCTAGATCTCACCCAGATTTAAACAGGCAGGGTGCCTACTCTGATGCCAATTGAAAATTCTGGCAAGCACACAATGGATGTTATTCCTAAGGTTATAACATCCACTGTGACATCTGCTACTTAACAGCTAATACTCAGTAATAAAAGCAGTAAATAACACAACAATTGTTTACTCAGTTCAATGTCAACAACAGTTACATCTGGGGGCTACCAAGCCAGGGAGGAACTTCACTATTAGCATAATTATTCAGAGTCAAACACCACAGTTTGCACTCCTCACTTAAGACCTACCCAATGACAATTCAACCTAGAGACACTCTAGACCTGAGTATACCGACTCACTCCCCCTCAATCACACAACAGTGATATCAAACAATTACAGACGACAATATGAAGAGACTCTTCATACACACCTTGATCTTGCTTCACAGCTTTGATCAAGGAACTCACACACTCTTGCTTCAAAGCTTTGAGTGAGACACAACCTAGAATCTACCTATCCAATGCAATTATCCACCAGACAATTGCTTGGATTACAAGTATTCCTAGATAGAATTCACACGTGAAGACTAGCCTTCTTCACTTACAAGGACTCTGCAATCTGCACTCTATATTCTTCTTCTATTGTCAAGTGTTGCCGTTCAGGATTGCATCTTCTGATCTTTATAACAGCTGTCAGTCCTTTTGGGCCTTGGTGCATTAATTAGGTTTTATCCATAACAAAACCTATTCTCAAAGATCTGCACACTTGCCACTTAATTAAGGGATCTTCTAGTTCGCCTAGGGCTTCTAGAAAGTCTCATGATATCCAGCTTGAGCACTTATTCAGTTTCCTAGTTTATAGATACCAGAAAAACAACCTTGCCCGCTGGATGTCATACGTTCAATGTTATGATATTCTGTATGACATTCAGCTTAACTAAGTTAACTTATAGTTAACTTACCCTACACACACATCATTAAGTATGTCCTAACACTCAGTATGACATACATGCACACTCTAAAGTTTTGCCATAAAATATAGCCAATCAAGAGCACTTACAAAAAACGTTTCTTTCATCTAACTGATTTAAGTGGCACACTTGTCGGTCCTATATCCAAGTTAAGGTTCCTCTCTTAGTATGTAAAGAATTCATAAAGGAAAAAACGACATTGCTTAAACAAAATAAGCTTAAAGCTTTCTTCCTTTATGACATCATTCTCATATGATTGTAGTGAATAGGTGAGATATCTTCCTTAAAAATGACAATTTGTCAAATCTTTCCAACACTATTTTTAGCTTCATCATCTTGGGCTTTAAACAAGATACAAAACCAATTGTTTCCTTCCATAGATTAGGAGGAACTACAAACGCTCGAATTTCTCAATTTCCTTTTTGAGAATACGTAGGCATAAGATTGCGAGATCTTAGCGAGCACACTAATAAAAAACCCTTAGGTCCCAATACCTTCCAAAAACAATAGAAAACCATAGAAACACCAAACAAAAACATTCCCTCAGTTTTCACAAAGGAGAAACCTTCCCAATTAAACATCAGACAAACCTAAGCAAGTAAGTCATTCAACAATAGAAATATACAATCAAGGTTCCTATAGATTACTATAGATACTTAGGGTGTTAATAACTTCCCTTTGTATAACCAACCCCGGATTCCAAATCTCTTTGCATTTGTAGGGAAAACATTTGCACGTAGGGTTAATTTACAATATCTTCCTCTTCCTTTTAAGCTTCATAGGATAAATACTAGAAATCAGAAAGTAGCACAAAATGCGGTAGTGGTCGCGTCACGAAAACCAGAGCTGCAAGTATTACATGCCTTCCTAAATTTAGGACGCACTCATAAATGAGTCAAAACTGATAACATGTCATATCACATTATCAATATAAAGAGAGGTGTCGTGATTAGATCGTGATATATTGTATAATCGGTTCTTGAGAGAGGCATTGTGTATCAATAATGGCATATCACATGACCAATCCAGGTGAGAGGCATCATGTAGAGATCGTGACATATCATATCATCAATCCTCGAGAGAGTCGTCACGTATCTAATATGGAATATCACGTCACCAATCTAGATGAGAGGAACCACAAGTCTATCAGAGGGTTAAAACCCCCTCAAAATGGGTTCATTACGCGAAACAAGGCCATGGATGTTCAAGGTGACGATCTTACCATCATAGCCATAACGGTCATCATCTAGGTGATGCCTAACAGAGGTCACCCATCAGCATGCATACGGTCTTCAGTTGTCGGTCACCCCCGTAATTGGTTCCAGGGCGATAACGATCAACCCATCATCAAGATGACGACAATCATCCTTTCTTGATGCGTGACAGTTAGCTCGTCACACGGGTAAACATCATAAATGAAATAAAAGCATGTAATTCAAGAATCACTCAATGAAATTAATTCGGGGTATTACAGTCTTTCTCCCAAGGTTTCCCTCCGGATATTCTTAATTACAGTTAGAGGAGAGGTACTCCTCCGTATGGTTAGATATGGAATGAAATTCAGATGCGAGTTCTTTATGGTTCGACTTTGGATAAAAAGGAATTTAATCGTGGGATATTGCAAGAATTCAACGTCGATTCCCATAAACGACACCACTGTTCTGTACAAGAACCAAAATTCGTGTGATTGATAATGTAGAACTCAAGAATCAGCGACATCAAATCTCTAGTATTGTGGCGCGGGGTAGACCCGCATGGTTAGCACTGCACTCCTATGCCTAAGTATGTTATAAAGTCCAAATGAATGTAGTGAAAGTGGAGATCAGAAAAATGTATCTTGAATCTCACATGTACAAACTGTATACGTTAGATCATCTCGATTGGGCTATATATGATTGAGCCCTCGTATTGAGCCTCTGGTCGGTCCAGAACAATAGGCAGGGCTGGAACCCAAGAGGACAACAATCTTGTCAACAACAACAAACAAGGGAACTTTTTCCTTTTAGAGGAAGCCATGATTCAATATAGGAAAATTGAGCATGACCACTTAGAAGTTACCAACAAAAAGTTAAGAAACTTGGAAACTCAAATCGAACGATTTTTAAAACAGTTGGCTGCCCGGTTAAATGAAAGATATGCATGTACCACTATAAATACTTCAAGTTGCAATGGTAATATATTAAAGGGCCGACGACTCCTTATTAGTCCAATGAAGTTGAGAAATCGGGACACTAAAAAATTAAATAAAATGAAAAAATGAGGGAGTAGTTGAAAAATTTAAATTAAAACTGAGCATGAAGTTGAAAAAACAAATATTTTATTCTGAACCCAAATTTTAAAATATGTCCGTTCCAATCCCCATAAAACAAACCATTTTAAAATAAAAATAATCCATTTTTCAAAACCTAACCATGAACCTAAATTTTTTTCTGAACCCAAATTTTATTCTAAATCCTAACAAACATTAACATGTATCACAAAATAATAAAGTAATATAATCCCAAAAATTTTAAATATACATTTCAAATAATAAAATAAAAACTTATTATTCAGTGAAATTGCTAAGATATATAGATAAATCACCAATACCAAAATGTTCACGTCTCTATCTTTAAAAATTAAAGAAAAAAAAGAATGCAGAACTAATTTAAGCAATTAAGCCAATACACTATTGAGGGTAAAAGTATTGGAGCAAAAGATATAGAATTAAGGAAGTATCCACCAATCATTAATGGCTCCGTGGCATTACAATTTGTACGAACCAAACACAAAAAAGAAACAAACCACTGGTTTCCGTTTCCTTTTCCTTTTCTTCCCAAACCAAACTTTACACACTGCCAGAATCTTAATTCTTAACAACATTCAATTCTGTTTTTAGGGTTAATTATCATCATTCATTATCCCCAATCTCACAACACAAACTTTTCATCTTTCCTTTCAAATTATCATCATCAATCAAGATTTGATTTGATTTGATTTACGTGAATCCATTAATCCTTTCATCTTCTTCAACCTCCTTCGCGTTAATCCAGGTACAATCTCTGATTTCATTTCATTTTCTTTCTAAATTATGCAAGATTGTGTTGTACAGCAGTATCTTAGTTTTTTCTATTTTAGGTTATTGGATTTTTACTGGTTCAAGAAATGTGACTTGTTCTTTATGTGTTTTTGTTTTCAGATTTTTCTGCATAAATCTATTGTAGGGATTTAGATATCTATCTTCCTTTGGTTAGAAATTTTGGAGGTGGGAACTGTGATGCCATATTATTTACTCAGATGAAGTTTGGAAAAGGTTGGCGTTTAGGAAGCATGGGTGATATGCATATATTGCCCGGGTCTCGGCACCGTCCTCCCATGAAGAGGCCAATGTGGATTATTGTATTGGTTTTACTTGTATGTGTTTTTCTAATCTGTGCTTATATGTATCCGCCGCAAAGTAGATCCGCCTGTTACATTTTCTCTTCCAAAGGGTGTAAACGTTTGGCGGGTTGGCTTCCGCCTGTTCCTGCAAGAGAATACACTGATGACGAGATTGCGTCGCGTGTTGTGATTAAGGATATTTTGAGCTCGCCGTCGGTTGTTTCAAAAAAATCGAAGATTGCTTTTATGTTTTTGTCGCCTGGATCTTTGCCACTTGAAAGATTGTGGCACAGCTTTTTCCAAGTAAGAATTATTGGCTACTTTACTAGTCTGTTTTATTACATCCAAAATATTGTTTCTTGGTGGTCTCCTTGTCTGTTTGGAAGAAAGTTGATCTTCCGTTATTGAAAAATATTTGTGACACTTGTTTAATCACATAGAATATCTGCCAGTTTAGTAGTTTAGTTGATGTTCTGCATTTCTTTTATCAGTAAGAGATAAGATAAATGGTTGGCGGTATGCTCAAGTGATTCGTAAAAGAAGTACTATTACTATTAAGTTGTGTTGGGACTTGGAAGGTTTTGAGTGTGTCATTTTGCCAGTACCAGTTCTTTGCATGAAAAATGCTACTTCCCTTTCAATTTTGGGTAATTATGTGCAAAAGAAATGATTGGCATTTTTCAACGCGACTCATGTTCTAGTTTCCCATATGAGTTCTTGGAAACAGTTGTGACAATGATGTTCAGTCATAAGCATGGGCACTTGCCTCAAAACGTTATTTGATGCTTGGTATTTGACCTTCAAAATATACTGTGGCACTGATATACAATACATATTATAAAATATGTTTTTCAAATTAAATCTTCATAAATGTAATTGTTGTAATTTCATTGGTTAGTACTTGGCTAGCCATGCTTCTGAATTCTTCTTATTTAAAATGTGCATTTACCTGGAAGGTGTTCTCCTTTTTGGCAGGGTCATGAAGGGAAGTTCTCTGTTTACGTGCACGCGTCCAAGCATAAACCATTTCATGTAAGCCGTTATTTTGTCAATCGAGATATACGCAGTGACCAGGTACATATAGTCTTGCTACTATTCAGTTTACTATCATTTTTGAATTGTATTGTCTCGTATGTTTGAGTTTATGTTCTCTAATCATACTTTAAATATGTGTCATTTTTGTGTTTTGTTGGACTCGTGAATCTTTGGGTTTTGATTGTATGAAAATAGAATATTATTGTTGACTTGAGAAATTAACTTGACCTGTAACTATTTAATGCATGAGTTTCAAAGTATACTTATATACCTCTACATCATAGACGTTTTATATTGTCCAGAGCAGAAAGGAGTGTGATTCGTCACATAGCCTGGCCATCTAAGATGCCATTGTTTTGCACTGTCAATCTAAAATCGAAGTATAACACTCTATTGCACTCTTGCCAATATTAATTGGTAATAGTTGCTGCAAGCTGAAAGCATTTTAAAGTTCAATTGTTTTAGGTCTAATAGTTGTATTCCTGATGGCAAGTGTGATTATCTGTCTTCCAGTCACATGTGGTTTTCTAGTAGGGGTTCTTATAACCAGAAGCCATGTTGTTTGCAGGTGATTTGGGGAAAAATTTCAATGGTTGATGCAGAGAGACGGATATTGGCAAGTGCCCTTCAAGATCCTGATAACCAGCACTTTGTTTTACTTTCTGACAGGTAAGTGGGTTATGAGATTGCTTCTATAATGCTGATTAATTACTTCTATTGGTTTAATTAATTTTTGATTTTATTACATTAATTTTTGCAGCTGTGTGCCTCTATATCATTTTGACTATATTTACACCTATCTGATGTATACGAATATCAGCCATGTAGACTGGTATGTGAATTATCAAGCAATATTAAATAGTAGGGTTTTTATTGAGTTGGTAATTCTTCTCTCTGCTTTTTGCTATAAATCTGATGTCCTTTGCTAATACAAAATTTTACTTATTCTTATTAGCTTTAAGGATCCTGGTCCTCATGGGAATGGGAGGTACTCTGAGCGCATGTTACCTGAAGTTGAGGTGAAAGACTTCAGAAAGGGTGCACAGGTATATTCTTGTTGAAGCCATGTTGGAGATCGAATTCAGTATTGTTAATAGAAACTTTACATATCATACACATAATGCAAAATTTGAAAAGTGTTTTCACCCAATTTTATTTAGCCTCTAGCTTTTGAGATTCTCACTTAAATTAAGTTTTATTTTCTAACTTACAGAAACACCCTTATATAAGTTATAAGTGTCAAGTGTTACTGGAGAAGCTTGATGAAAGTGAGCATATCAAAAGTTATACCTGCCTGAAATTATTTACACTATCTCGTGTTTTCCCAATCAGTATCACCACACATCTATTCCATTCAAATATTTTGTTTGATATATCTGCATGCTTGCAACCCATTTAGTAGATTTGCCTCTGCTTCATTGTTCAACTTCTTCTGCAGTGGTTTTCTATGAAGCGGCAGCATGCTGTTATAGTTATGGCTGATCACCTGTATTACTCAAAATTTCGGGCTTACTGCCAGGTAGAGTTATTTTTATATATTGTTGTCTTTAAAACTTAAAGCAATTTTGTTTAATCTCAAAACGGTTTGTTAAACCATGTCTATTTCTGCTTTAAATTATCGTAGTCATCAAAGTAAACAAGTTTATCATTTCATTTAATGAGTTACATATGCATGGCTTCTGATTTTATCCCACTAGCATATAACGATGTGGCACTCTGTTACTTAAATTTATATGAATTTTTCAATCATTTTGCTCTAAATTATGCACTGAGTTTTAAGCAAGATGTTATTGAAACACACTGTCTTTTTTGCTCTATTTTGTTTTACCCTTAAAAACAAAACAAAAGTAGCAGTGTAGATGTATGACTACATGTATGTAAACACATCCAGGAAAAATTACAACTACCAAGTGCCTAAAAAATTCTAAAAGAATAGCGAAATGGAATGCCAAGAGTATTCTTACCTTATCAGTTCAATGTTGCCTAGGGTTATAAGGTGTTTCTTTTGTAGTTTGGGAAGCAGTATTCGTTGCAATGATTCAGGACTTCAAATTACATATATGATCTGCTTCCTAAACTACAAAAAAACTGCTTATTGTCTTAGGTGATATAGAACTGCCATGCAAATGATCTATAACTAGTCACCTTATGTGCCATTGTTGCGGCTTAGATGGTTAAGGTTATTAGACCATTTAAGCTTCGTTGTGATAAATCAGAATTTTTGAATCCCTGATAAGAACTTCTGTTCAAACTAGAAAAGCAACACCTTATTGTCCGAGACAGCATAAAATAACATGCAAATGTGAAATATGAATTGAATATTAATATGAGATTTCTTAATATCACAGCCGGGTTTCGAGGGGCGGAATTGCATTGCTGATGAACACTACTTGCCAACCTTCTTCCAGGTGAGAATTTCAGCAGTAATGTAGCTCTTTTGTATTTTTTTTTTTTGAACAATTTTCAATCTTCAGCTAGTTAAACTTATGCATTTTGTTTTAGATTGTTGATCCTGGTGGAATTGCAAATTGGTCACTAACCCATGTTGACTGGTCTGAGAGAAAATGGCACCCAAAATCATACAGGGCTGAGGATGTTACTTATCAGCTTTTGAAGAATATCACGGTATAGTTCTGCTGGCACTAAATTTATGTCATTATTTTTTCTTCATTTCATCTCTTTCCATCAATAGAAAGGGGTGGCAAATGGACATGCCCGCCCGTTTAGGCCCGTCCCGCAAAAGCCTGCACAGAAAAACGGGGCGGGGCAGGCATAATAGAGGGGCACGGGCCTAAAACCTTGGTCCGCCCTGCAAAAAAAATGAGGGCAGGGCGGGGAGGGCCTGACAGACCCAGCACCATAAAAGCCTAAAAGTTGCCAAATTCATGTAAATTCCCGCACCAGCAAAAGCCCACAAAAAACAGGGTGGGGCTGACATAGTAGACGGTGCGTGCCTAAAATCTTGACGCGCCACACAGAAAAATGCGGCCAAAAACGTGGACGCCCAGAATCTGGGGCTGATTTCACTAGATTAGCAGTGTTACAATTCACGTGCTTTCTTAGATTTTAGCAGGAGCGCCTGTGATTCTGGTTTAAAGGAAAAATGCAATTTTGCTATATGGGCACAATTAGCGTGTGAGTTTGTGGTCAATTTGTACTGACGATTCATTCCTTTTATATAATAAAACACAATTGGACTTTTAGGAGAATTAAAAGAGACATCAAGTTGAGGAACCCCTGATCCGTAAAGTTATTATAGTTATTATTTTGGTGTTAAGTCAAGTGTAGTTCTACTGTGCAAGTATCTGCAAATTCAGCATTGCCTTTTCATTTTATCCTGGGTTTCATGGATATTCACTGTAATCGTTCTATTTGCAGTCTGTTGATGTTAGTGTACACGTCACCAGTGATGAGAAGGTATGCTATATGAGATATCTACTTAATTGGTGAGAATGAATGAACCAGCTAGATGTATTATTATCTTGTGTTTCTGCAGAAAGAAGTGCAAAGTTGGCCTTGCTTGTGGAATGGGATGCAGAAGCCATGTTACCTGTTTGCTAGAAAATTCACTCCTGAAACACTGGACACGTTGTTGCATATATTTTCTAATTATTCAGCACCCTGAACTTGAATCCTCTTCAGCTAGTTTGATCGATTCTCTGGTCAGATAAGTTGTTGTTTTTGGCCCATATTGGTTTCTCATATGACATGAGAGTTGTAAATTGCAGCATTATTGAGGCTTGATCGCCTGCCGGCCGCAGATATTAGGTGCAAGGTTTTTAGCATTGCAGTTAGAGTGGCCTGAGTAACTCTAACGATGTAGCGTTGCTTCCTAGAGAATTGTTGGATGACCGAACTAATATTTTTCCCTTCCATTTTTGGTTATAGAAATTTTGGGGGAATCATATCAGCTCGTTATCTAATGCTTGATGATCTTATGTAAAACTTGCCAAGTATTAAGTTGAAAAAGTACGACCCCCTTAGTCTCTCGCTACTCAAGTTTATTGTTCAATTCTTATGCTAAACTCTGATTCTATATATGTTTCATGACCTTAGTGTAAGCCTTTTGCAACTTGTAAACTGAATTTGAAATACACATTAAGAAGGGTTAATTTTGGAGTCTGATATGAGAGAGAAAAGGGCAGACATGAACCAAGGACAACTGCCGGGAAACAACAACCACCTTGGTTTTCAGGCAGCGTGCATGCTGGCCGCCGGCAAGTCATCCCTGGCTCAAATCTACTCTCTACACTTTCATACAAGACACATTAATATTGAGATTCATAGGTTCTCATATTCCAGTTCACTGCCAACACATTGTGCATATAATTATTTATAGGCTGAGAAGAGTTAAGGGTAGAATGAATCTTACATTACATCTCATCTCACAATTCACATAACTGGTCATAAAGTTGATTCCCAAATTCTTTGGAGCTAGATATGGCCCTACATCCATGCTATTTCTTATCCAAAACAATCTATGTTTCGGAATCAATTTTCACTTTAGCCATTAACTAGGAACTTTCAAAAGTTGTATATTTTCTTCCACACAATTAGTTGACTGCATCAATGTATCTCAGTTTCTGGAACTTCGACATGTGCACTCTTGACTATATTTAGATTTTCCAGTTAAGAATTTGATTCAAAGTGAAATTAATGAAATTCTTGCCGGTGATAGAATTTAGAAAAGCATAAAGGAAAATGTGATTAATGTTCAGTTATGTTTGTGTGTAAGTTTTTTAATTTTTATTTATTTTTAATTTCTTTTTAATTTTTATTTATTTATTTATATTTTATTATTTTTAATTTTAAAATCATTTTTGTTAAAATATTATTTTATTTTGAAAATGAAGCAGCTATATTGATTAGTTTAAAAAAACATGTTTTTTAATCAAAAAACTTTAATTCAAAAATGTCACTAAACACAAGACTAAGATCCAGCCCCAAATAACCGAAGACAAAGGCATAAAAAAAGGGAGCTACACTAGTTCATCACCATTCTTGCAATGTGAACTCAAAGCTTGCTATTTTTCCACTCCTATAAACAATACTAGATATGATTATTTCTTTTATCTTTGTGTTATTTACAATATTTTCACAATTTTTATCATTTCTATATTTCCAAACTTTGTATACTATTTCTTTCTTCTGCAGCAAACTTGAGAATACTAGCCCTCCAACATTTACCTGTGGAGTTTCTTGTAATCTAAGCCAATTCATCTTACTAACAAAAGCAAAAAAGTTGTCGTTGTCCACCATTTCAAATTGGACCAATCTATCTTTGGTAGCTAGTTTGGCACGTAACCTACATCACAAAAAGCGCTCTAGGTAGCGCTCTAGGTCTTGCTAGATTATTGTAGAATAGTTTCCTCCACTGCACAAATGAATATTCATCTTTTAACCTAATGTACATCTTTCTCATATCAAACTTACAAGTTTACTGCAGATTATTCCACTCTTGCAACTGTTGAATCTTGTCTCGCTACTTTATAATTGCCTTCACCATCCACTAACAATTGGATTTAATATTGACAGACATTAGACGATCCTTTTTAATATAGTATGTGTGGATCCATTTGATCTATGAATTGTCAGTTTTCTTGCTAAGGTTCCATAAGAGCTTTGCCATTTTAGCTTTATTCCATACTGCAAGATAGATGATATTCATGTCACCTTGAGCTTTCGGGCTGCACACATGCTCTCAGGCAATAGGGGATTTCATACTAAACTACTTTCCTCTTGTCCATAAGAAGCTTCTACAAAAGGCTTCAATCTTGGATACACTTTTAATAAGCTGGATCCTTCCAGCATAACTCAGAAGGCTGGCACTCCAATGTCTGACCCTTGCAACAATCTTGTCTACCAGGCACATGTAATGGTGTGTGATAAGCTTTTTACTAGTCAAGGGCACACCAAGGTATCTAAAGGGAAACATGCCTTCTTTGAACCCAATGATCTCTTTGATTTCTTCTTTGGTATCATTACACATCCCTCAAAAGTAAAAATAACATTTGCTAGGATTCCCTCTTAGTCCAGTTGAGGTAGAGAACTTGTTGAAAGTGTTCATCATCAACTCAATGGATTTCTTGTCTCCTCTGACAAACATTAGTAAGTCATCCGCAAAGCTGAGCTTAATTATGTTTAGCCTCTTGTATTTAGAATGAAAATTGAAATCAGGATTTCTTGTCATCTTCTGCATTGATCTGTTCAGGTATTTTGTTAATATTACAAAAAGAAGGGGTGAAATGAGGTCTCCCTGTCTCAAGTCTTTCATAGGTTGCATAATTATGGTTTACGCACCATTAACATTAAACTTGTATGATATAGTTGTCACTGCTAGCATTATCCATCTGATATACTGGTTAGGAAACCCTGTCTCTTTTAGAATATGCTCAAAAGCTCCTTAATCAAGTCTGTATCATAAGCTTTTTGGATGTCAAGCTGCATCATACACCTTGGTGTGCCTCCCTTCCTGCTATAGCCTCTAATTAATTTATAAGCGAGTAAGATATAGTCATGAATATGTTGACCTGATAAGGCAACCTGATTTTTATTCACAATGCTTTCGATCACTCTTTCAAGTTTTGTTGTAAGTATCTTGGAGATAATTTTGTATATGGTAGTGCGACAAGAAATGGGCATGTAGTCCTTGATAGTTTTGGCCTCCGAACTCTTCAGAATGGGGGTTACCACTGTGCTATTTATCGCCTTATACATTCTCTCGTTCAAGAAGAATTTCATAACTACAACTGTAACACCATGTTCTATAATACTCTAGATAACTGTAAAGAATTTTGCGCCATAACCATTTATCTCTAGGGCCTTCAGGTCTCCAATACCAGTGAGAGTTTTTTTGATTTCTTGGATAAACACAAAATTGATTAGAAATTTTCTCTGATCATTGTTGAGTTGTGCCTCCTCCCTCATGGCCACTATGTCAATGCCATCAAGATTAGAGTCTGCTTCCCCATAAGATTTCTATAGAATTCTAGAATTTCTTCCTCAATCTTTGTTTGGGGGTTCAGTTGGGTGGTTTTTTTAAATAGAAGTTAGACAACAATATAGATTATGATACTTACACATTTTATTATTATAATAATTTTATCGGTCACATTTATTTATATTTATATATTAATGTAACTAATTTGTTGATATTTATAAATTAATAATAAAAAAGAGTAATTATTTTATAATAATTTTAATACGCCTATAATTAAATTAATCCTTCTTAAAGTCTATTTTTTAATCATATTAATAAAAATATATTTTAACATGCATACTTTTTGCTATGGACCATCCACACGGTCCACAAAAAAGATCCAATAACAAGTGTTAAAGAAAGTCGTTCAAAATAGATGGACTTTCATCATTGTCGAGGTCACACGATCACGCATTTCATCACATTATAGCTGGATCTAATACAACGACAACTCGCACAAGTTGCCGAATCACCCATGAACAATTTTAATTGCCAATACTATGCAAATACCATATCGCACCATTTCATGGATTCAATTCATTCTCATTTTCAAACTATTTGTTACTTAGCTAGTATGCGTGTTAACCTTGCAGATCCATCCTATCCACTACACTGAAAGTCTAATCTACTACATTGGATGTGCGATCCACCGCAACGAAAGTCCGATCCACCACACCGAAAATATGACCCTACGAGTGTGAGCTCTATTCCATTACTAACCTACAGTTCCCTAAACAGAACAGTGACGTCGTAAGTGGGGAATTAATGGTTGATTGGTGAAGATAAAGTAGGTTGCAGATGCGAAGAAGAGTTTTCGAAAATTTACAAATGGCAAAAATGGGAACATGATCACCTCAAAACTCCTTATATATCCTCAAGGAAGATGAACCATGTAATCCTCGGCATTGGATAGCATGAATCGCACCACTAACGGCCAAGTTCTCATCGCACACTGTTCAAGAACATTCAAATGTCCTAATACTAGAAGGAATCATTATTTAGATGTAGGGACACATGTTCAAACATATCTTTAAAATATTGTGAATCACGAGGGAGACATTTAATACACATTTTTCCAAATACATCAACGCTCCATTAATGTCTTTTTGATTTTTTTCTATCTAAAACTGAAGATGAATCCAACAAAACTCTCGTTCTACGACGTAGGAACAAGGGTTTGGGGGTAATTATTCTAAGTCATCCGCAAGACATAAAAAAAGACCCAATAACAAATATTGAAAAAGAAGCCGCATAGAACAAATGGACCCTCATCCCTGCCGAGGACACACGATGAAACCCTCGAGTTTTAATTTAATAAACAATATTCAACCTAACAATATTAATACTTGTCACTTAAATTTTATTTACAACTTAATTTTGTTTTAATGTATAAGAAGTGGTTTCTAAAGCTGAAAAGCAATACTTGTTGTATACCTTATATAATTCATAGATAATTTATCGAAAATGTTGACTTGGTTATAGAAAAAAATGGTGCCAAGGAGAATATGTAAACATTGTTACTAATGCAGTGTTACTATCTTATCTTGAGTATGACACGTACTTTGTTTCTAGGAACAAATCATAAAAGTGCCCATATGATTTTCTTGTACACTACTTACAATGCAAAGTACTCAATCAGTAAACCA